CTTAATAGAGTGTCGTTTTGAGCTGATAATTTATTCGGGCACAACTATGAATTTTTTGGGCCTCAACAGACTGCATCAACAAATGGTCTTTTCCTTCTTATAATTTGTAGGTTATCTAGATATTTGAAGTGTTGCAATATCAGCCAGGCTTTAAAAACCCTTTCGAGCATGTTTCCACTCATTTATCGTCAATTTATCGATAATGATATTTTCATTCAAATGACAGCTTCAATTGGTCAACATATTGCGATAATATCGATAATATCACGATATGAACTTTCAAAAATGAAATAACTCACTTGACTCACGCACACAGTGGTTCGAACTCCTCCCCCCTTCCAAGTTCAGAGCAACTTAACCACCACGCTAGTCATCACTTGGTGATAAATACCTATGGAATCTGGTATTTATAACTCTTCCAAGATGTTTCTCAAAATAGAAAATAATTACTTATTGTTCTATATTGTTGATCAAATATTTAATTACTTAATATAATTTATTTCTTTCATATTTAATCCATTTAATATTATTGCTTACTTTATTAGGGAGATTCATTATTATACCAAATATAGGAGCCCAAATTATAAAAATACCTCATATGAAATGGACTTTAAAAACACACCCAAAGCCCATTTAGAACATAACAAAGAGGCTTTTAACTTCTTATAAATTACAAAACTGCCATCAATTTTTTAAAACAAGCCCAACTCCAAAATCTCATAAAAATAGCAAAAACACTCAATATGGCATCAAAATAATTTAATATTAAATATTAAATTCAATAAGGTCAGCTATTATTTTTTGGGTTTTTTTTTGGGTTCATTTATAGAAATTCAATAGTGTATGGATTATCTATAATATTAGTGCTAAGAATGGGTATATCCAAATTGTTGCTTAATTACTTAAATCTCTATGATATTTTTCTTTATTTCCTATTTAATTCTTCCTTGGATAACTTTATTTATGTTCTTAGTTAATTTTCAATCTTCAGTATTATTTTTTAAGCATGGTAAAGTGCTTAATTTTCATGACAAATCAAGTTGGTTTACATCTTTAATTATTTTTCAAGTTTTAATAAATAATATATATAAGAACATATACCATGTCATGTCCAGTGAATAACGTGAAATAAAGTTACTCATGTATCTTACCATGCAATTTATAAAGTGTAAACTATTGTAGTAAAAATGATAAATAAATTACTAGATGGTGTTTAATTTTCTTTCATTAATTACTCTAGATTTTCTAAGTCACAGAGTTTGTCAGCTCGCAATATAATCAACTTAAATCACTCAAATCTACCACGCAATGCATTTCCTTCCAATCTTTTGTGTTAAAAATTTCCAATCTTTACAAAGTTTCATTAAAAATTTCCATGTAATTATCACAATTTCCGTGGTTTTTATCCAATTTTTATCGATATCGATATTTTCCCGATATTTCCATCTATATTTCCTTGTTTTTGAACCACCGATATTTCTGAAACCCTTGATATTTAAGACCTTGGTTTTATTAGCCTAAAATTTAATTTAGCCCACTCGTGCCTACTAATGATAATCATACCATGCTCACATACCAAAGGCTCACAGGCTCATCGCTCATCCAACAATATACTCAAGGAAAAGAAGATGAGACAAAATAATGAATTGAAGTCTCTTTGGGGTCGTTTGGCACGGCGGATTGTCATGGACATGACTAAATCTTGAGACTGTCTCGAATTAGCTCAGATTGGCTTAAACTGGATTAAGTACTGACTTATGTTTGGTGCTAGGTCAGACTAAGAAGCTGGATTGTAAAAATAGTGAAGACCTATGTTTGGTGTTGTGTCGGACTAAAAATAATTATTTTTATAAATAAAAAATTAATAAAATTCTAATATTTAATTTTAATTAAGGCTTTTTTTTACCTAAAAAGAAAACAAATAAGTGAGTATGTGATGGTTTATTATCTTATCTCTGGTCAAACAAAAATTAAACCACGCACTTCAAACTATCTTTTCTTTTCTTTTTTCTTTTTCTTCATTTCTTTCTTCCTCCTTTCTTATTCCTTCCAAAGCCTCCTTTTTTTCTTTCTTTCTTCCTTTCCAAGCCGTTCCTTCTATTTCTTTTTTTCTTCCTATTCTTTCCTCTCTTTTCTTCTTCCTTCCTTCCTTCTCACTCTCTCTTCATGCTGCACCCCAACTTTTAAGAGAGCCAGATCCACTTCTGGGTATGTGGTGGCTGCAAACACCCACTCCTCTCTGTTTCTAGTTTCACTAATTAATGGTTGTGGTGGTTTTAATTAGGTGATGATGGTTGTTAAACTGAGTATGTGGTGGATGTTTATGGGTGGTGATGATGCTTTGTTTGACTGATTGGGTGGTAATGATGGTTCGGTTGGGTCTATAACGGCTGGTTATGGGTTTGATGGTGGTGGTCTGACAGTGGTGGACTTATGGTGCTGGTGGTCAAGCTCATGTGTTTGACGGTGATGGTGGTATCCAGTCGGACTCGCATGTTCAGAATAGCACCATCGCTATTTAGTCAACCAAGTTTTGGGCTCGCTATATTAGACAAGCGAGTCCAATGTTTTTTTTACCTATTGGACTATATAATCTCATTTAACTTAATCCTATTTCTTACCAAACATAAGTTTTTAGGACTATTTAACCCAATCTAATCCAGTGAGGTTTAGTGAAGCTTGCCAAACCGGGCCTTTGACTATTCCAGCACATTCTTGTGTAGGACATGTCCATAAAGTTCTCTTTAAAATGAAAAGTATTTCCATCTTGTTCTTACTTTTTTTAGCCTACAACCAACTTCTTTTTATTTATTTTTATATTTTTTCTTTATGAACAGTCTACTGCTAATTTTTCTTTCACTGATAACCTTTTTCACACATAATCCCTTTAAGTGAAAAAAATTAAATAAATAAAAGAATGAATGGTACGTTGTAGTAGTTGCACCTTTATATTCCACCCTCGGGTGCGTATATAAGGTAAATTTAGCCTAATCTTGGGTCCATCCCTGCTTTTATGTCTTTGACGTTGCCCTTCACATTATGAACGTAGGAAATGCTTATAATATAATTAATAAACAAAGTTGTTGAACCAAATAATTCAATGTATACACGTTTGTTCAACTACACTCGCCCCAAATAAAATCACGTCATTAAAGATTTGCCTAGCAGACTTGTCTTAATCACTGAAATAATTATCCATAATTTATGTCAAGACAAAATCATAATCACTCACACCCCAAGCAATATCCATTTTGTTACCTTACGCTACGCATGCTCCTCTTCCTCTCACCTCATCTCATCTTCCCCCTTTGTGTTGTGTGTGACAAAATCGTATTATTTTTCAGACATCTCTCTGAACTGTAAAAGTTAAAAATGTTGTTGGCATGCAGTGCAATTTAATAATTATTTTCAATTATTTTCGCACAAGTTGTGGGATTTTAAATTGAGATAAAATGGATGTCAAATCTATACACAGATGGACATGGAGCTAGCTGGGTGACAAGAAACTTGAACCACATGCGAAAGTATTCATAACTATTACTCATTTTTGTCACGACTATCTTAATACCATATATAAGTATTTGTACAATAATTCAACATATTTTGTCACAGAAGTCATAATTTTAGACATGAAAGGGGCAAATTATTTCAAGGCCAATGTCACTTCAGAATATACGGATATTTTATATACATCTACGGTGAATAATTGTCAATTTATAAAAAACATATTCGCCAATCGTTAATTACATAATTTTTTATATACATCAACCATCAACGATTAACAATCGTTCATTTTAATGTTTATCCAAGTGTGAGGGCAATGGGTTTGGGTTGGTTATGACTTCTGAGACTACGAGGATTCTCACCTATCTGTTGTCTTTTAACCCTTTAACCGACGCGTTGCTGCTCGTGCCTGTCACTTCTTCAAAACTCTATCCAAAAGTCCCCCAAGCACCTCCCTCCTCCTCCTCCTCCTCCATCTACTACGCCTCCTCGTGTCTATCAGATCCACGACAATAAACCCCCTCCAAATTCCCCGCTAATTACACAACTACCACTAGAAGAACCACGTGTCCCTCTCCCATTGGGTACCTGACTACACACAAGAAGTTTCCAATTGTAGCGGATTAAAGCCTACAAATGAGGGGGCCCACTTTTCCACTACCAATAATTGATCATTCTCCTAACCCCCTCTGTACCCAAGCTGGCACCACTGTCTCCTTCCTTCCACACTTCTTCCACTAGATCACTACTTGTACTAATCTCTTCCAAAATCTCAAAAACCCTAACCCTAATCTCCCCCCAACACCCTCTGTAAATACACCACCACACCATTTTTCTTCACTTAAAAAGAAAAAGAAAAACCTATCTCTCTCTCTCTCTTCATCACTTCACCTCCCATGCTTTGACTCAGACAATTCAACAAACACTAAACAAACATGCTGATACGCCTGATGTGCTTCCTCCTCCTCTCGTTGCTCTCATTCACCACGTGCTCCAATTCGTCGCAGTCTTCCGTCTACGACGTGCTGCGGGCCCACGGACTTCCGATGGGCCTGCCGCCCAAGTGCGTTGTCTAC